CATTATATTCACTCATTATCAAATTTTTATAAAACCATATAGACTGCAATGTCAGTCACCACTTGAATAGCCAGGAAATAATGCCTCAAAACAGTCAGACTGCCAGAGAGATTCTTCTGGCAAGCTCCACAGCGGTTGATAAGTTTTTTAACTTCATGTAAAGGTCTTATAAACCTCATTCTTGGCCATTACCTATCATTTAATTTTTTTCTCCATTACACTATCTACATTATTTTTTCTCATCCTTTTAAAAAATGGCAAAAATAGTATTTCACAGTCCCTGGCTTACCATTGCATATTAGACCAATTACTTGGATCAACTGGCAGAAATTTTCTTGTGTTGAGGTTAGTCACTGGATCAATATAACATTGCCCCTCAACATCAACTGTGCTCAGAATTCAGAAGTAAGAGCATGTCAAGCATTCCATGAAAGCTTTAAGTATCAGGCTGAAGGAGTGAGCCTTTCCCATTTATAGATTGCAAAGGAACAGTATCTAGGTAAGACAAATAAAGTTGAGACAAATTCTGATAAGTGTGTTTTGGTTGAGCTCCCCTTGAGGAAACTACAGGGTCTGATGGTTGCTATGTGCAACCTCATTAGGGTGAATGTCAGCTGTGCACACTTTTGTTGATATTCAATGTTGATAAATGCAAAGTAATGCACATTGGAAAACATAATCCCAACTATACATATAAAATGAGGGAGTCTTAATTAGCTGTTACCACTCAAGAAAGAGATCTTGAAATCAATGTGGATAGTTCTCTGAAACAATCTATTCAACGTGCAGCTGCAGTCAAAAAAACAAACAATGTTGAGAATTATTAAAGGGATAGATAAGACTAAAAAAATCATATTGCCTCTCTATAAATCCATGGTATGCCCACATCTTGAATACTTTGTGCAGATGTGGTCTCATCTCAAAAAAGATATATTGGAATTGGAAAAGGTTCAGAAAAGGGCAACAAAAATTAGGAGTCTGGAACGAACGGCTTCTGTATGAGGAGAGTAATAAGACTAGGACTTTCCATCTTGGAAAAGAGACGACGGGGGGATATGATAGAGGTCTATAAAATTATGACTGGTGTGGAGAAAGTAAATAACACTTCCTTATTTACTACTTCTCATAACACACAAACTAGGGGTCACCAAATGAAATTAATAGGCAGTAGGGTTAAAACAAAGGAAGTATTTTTTTCACACAACACACAGTCAACCTGTGGAACTCTTTGCCAGAGGATGTTGTGAAAGCCAAGTCTCTACCAGGGTTCAAAAAAGAACTAGATAAGTTCATGGAGGATATAGGTCCATCAATGGCTATTAGCCAGGATCGGCAGGGATGGTGTCCCTATCCTGTTTGCCAGAAGCTGGGAATGGGTGACGGGATGGATCACTTGATGATTACCTGTTCTGTTCATTCCCTCTGGAGCACGTGGCATTGGTCACAGTCTGAAGACTGGATACTGGGCTAGATGGACCTTGGTCTGACCCAGTATGGCCACTCTTTTGAAATTCACTCAGGAACACAGATGGCCACAGAAAGTCCCCCAGTGCAGAACTGTTGTGGTTACACTACATGTGAATGGGTAACTTCAGTTGGGTGCACAGAGGACACTAACTCCTGTATGTGACACAACTGGGTTCCACAGTAGCTATGCATAGGCCACTATAGAAAGGGGCTTAAGGAATGGGCCAAGGAATGGAAAAAGTCCATGGTTACATGTATCTAGTGGGCATGGCAAGGAATGTTAGACCAGTGTGCAGGAATCACAGGGTCTGGTACAGCAACTGCAAAAAGGATATGTATCTACTCTGGCCACAGGTTGGGATGTTTGTTCTGTAACCCCCCCTCCCCACTGTGCCTCTATTTCCCCATTTTCCAGATGGGAATAATGATACTGGTCTTCCTCTGTAAAACACTTTGATATTTATAAATGAAAAGCACTAAATATTGTTGGCTTTTATATTTGCTTTAAAAGGAAATTACCAAAACTAGGACTAATGAAAATGGTTTTGTCTGATTTCCAATTATGACAACTCCCTGTTGTGGATTTAAACCTCCCCCTAGCAATGTTCGCAAAGCTTTTTGTGGGCAGGAGGACATGTAGTTTATCTAGGGGCCTGATCCTGCAAAGTATTACTCATGTAGCCATTATGCCCATGGAAAGAAGTAGAAGAACTTTCATGTCAAGTGAAAGTTTGCCTGAGCTCATGTGTTTGTAAAGTGCTGTGTAAATTTACAGAGCTATGTGTGTTTCACTGTAATAACTGAGACACTGGAACATTGTATGTGTGCATGGGACTCTGAAGGTGAACTTGACTGCTACTTTAATTGTCCAAGCTGATCCAGTGTAAAAATATAAACCACATGAAGATTAAAAGTCGTACAGACTATTCAAAGTGCTTTGTATTAATACAAGAGGATGGTAAGGGGAATTTGAGTGGTGTGTTAATTATTTTGAGCCTTAATGTCCTGATTTAAAAAGAAACATTTACTTTGATTTCTAAATTGCGGTATTATATTTTACATTCAGACGAGACCTTTACAGATGAAGCCCTGTCTGAACATTAAATATCTCCAGCATTTTGCATAAGTGGAAAAGATTCTTCCTATCCAAAATTCCCCTTCTTTCCAAACTACTGCACAGTGCTCTGTGCTGCTGGCCTAGCTGGCTGCTGATTTTCCTCACCAGGTGGCTGCCTTTCAGTGGTACATTTATATGCATAGTTTGCAAAGCATGCACTGATCCTTGTGGAAGGAGGCTGTAGGAATGAACAGATAGGTACTGCCGAGGTCACACAGACCTTTCCTAAGACCCAGCTAGGTACTAGCAGTAATACGTGTTGAGCTCTTGGTGAGATAAGGGTTGTTGTGAAAGTACGGAGATGATGGCGCACATCCACGTATTACCTCAATATTGGTGCTGCCCATAACAAAATACATTCCATACATTGATGGAAAAAATTGGAGGGAACACTACTCCTCACCCTTCCAGGTATGTAGAGGGGATTCTTCAGGGTTAAAGGAAATGGTATAGAACACAGTGCCTAGGTAGAACTGCAGACAAATGCATGGGAGCTCTGTGCTAACTTGTTCGTATTTGGGGACAAAGCTGGCTCATCAGAAACCCTGCTAACACTGTATCCTGTTAGAAACAAAACCCGTACAGTGGGCTACACTTGAATATTCCAGCTCTCTCAATTTCTCCATCTCTCTGTTAACCATATGCATTATTTCACATTGCAGTTGATTAATGAGGTTTTATGTCATTACAGGGATTTGGTGCAGAGAGAAAGATTCGTCAAGCTGGTGTTATTGACTAACTGATCCATAAAGCACATAACTAAGTACGATCAAGCAGTGGGAGCTGGTGAAGGGTACTGAATATCTCCCTATTCATCCCTTCCAAATTCTAAGAAGTTGTTACACCAGTTTTAACACCTTCCTCATGTTATGTTTAAAAAATTTATGAAACCATTTTAAAATTATGCACAGTTGCATCCTGAAGACTTAAGGTGGCGCCTTATAGTATCACATTTTAGACGCTTTTTGAATGGTGCATTTAACGCAACTGGTAACTGCAAATCTACATTGCCTATGTAAGTGAACATTATAGACAGTTCTACTCTGGTAGACCTTATGAAATTCTGCACTAAAAAGATATATATATACTCTACCTTCATTATTTCTGCCAAGGTGTTACTATGCCTTAGCTCTCAGTTGCATTATCTTTCCCTCCACGTGGGAGGCTCACTTCCTGTTTGTTCAGATCTAATTCTGAGGACCATATGAGGGTGGACTATATTAACTTTTTTTTATATAAAATCTGTATGAGCATTCAGATAACTTTATTAAGTTGATGGCCAAATGTTACAATGTTGTTTTCATATCTCATTTAAACTTGAGTCCATGTAGGAAAGTTCTGTTAGATCTCAGTGAAAGTACCTTCCAGAGTAGATCTGTTTTTGTAACTTTCTGCAAATAGTATGTGCAGTGCAGAATTTCAGAAGGATGAGGTGTGCCATCGGTGTGGTAATTTAAATATATAAAACAATGCACAAATTTTGCTGCTGCTTAGAACACTGCAGCTTCTAAACCCAGTTTCTTTTACCGATTTAAATTTAAAAATTGTGCCTGAAGTGAATACATTTTTCTTTTTGCAGCCAGCACCCAGTGTACTGTAAAAGAATAAATACTTAGGCTTTCCATAGCTGTATTGAGATTTTCATCAAGGTGAAACAGTTAATGTCTGTGTGCTTTTTTTTTTTTTTTTTTTTTTTTCCCCAGCCACACTTTATCAAGCAAGAAAACTGAATGATTGGTCTAAGTATTACTTTAACCAAAAAGATCAGGAGTTATTTTCTTTGAATAGAGGGCAGTACTGTGTTTTTTTTTCCCCTCCATATTACCTCTATTCTCAATTTAGGGTTTTTCTTCTCTGGGAGATGCATTATCTTTGTGAAACAAACATTGCTTTCTCCAATTTTCTGTTAATGGCAAAGAATGGAAATAGAATAAAGTTTTACTGATTTTGAAAAAAAAATGCCTCCAGTTTTGTTTCCAAGTTCACATTCTGTGCTCACGGTATCTTCATGCCAAAGCCTAATGCTGAGTTAACCCTCTTCGTTCGGCCTCAGTCTCCAGCAGTGCCTGCTGGACTGATTAAGGAGGGGTTGGAGCCTCTCACCAGCACCGGGGCGTTCACATTAAGTGGGGCTGTTTAAAGCCGTCGCTTTCTGGTGCGGTCCCCGCCTGCCCAACCCTCGGGCTCGTGGCGGCCGGCACTAGAACTGCCCCGTGCGTGGCAGCGCCGCCCTCGGCCGGGAGCGTCAGCGCGGCCTGCGCCGGCCCCGCAACGCTCCACAGCCGGGAGCCCAGCCTGAGCCCCGCCTCCCTCGCCGCCAGGGGCTCTGCCGCTGCCGCTGCGCCTGGGCCATCGGGCGCCGGGCGGCGCGCTGCCCTTCCGGCCCCGCCTGATGACGTGAGCGTTGGGAGCCGGAAGTGTTCGCAGGGGGGTTCCGCTTTCTCGGGCCCCGCGGAGCCTGTCGGGCCGCAAGGTGAGAGGCTCCCTGGGACCCGCCCCGCCCCGGACTGGCTGGGCCCGGGGCTGTCACTGGCCCGGGCCCCGCGGGACCGGCATCCCGAGCCTGTGTTGGGGAGTTCGGGGCCCCGCAGGGCTCTGTCCAAACTGGGGCCAAGGGCCCCGCCGTGCCTGGGGGAGGGGGGCAGGGCTGGCCTTTGCCCCCTGGGGTGGGGGTCGGGGGTCCAAGGCCCGGCTCTCCCCCGCCGCCCCGTGTCTCAGGGTGAGCGGGTGCGGGGCCTTCGCCCCACTGACGTGTGCGCTGTGCCCGCAGGTTCCCGGGCAGGGCGATGACCGAGTACAAGCTGGTGGTGGTGGGAGCTGGTGGCGTTGGCAAAAGCGCCCTGACCATTCAGCTCATCCAGAACCACTTCGTGGACGAGTACGACCCGACCATAGAGGTGAGTCCCTGCTGCAGGCGCTCGCTCGCCCGCTGGGGCAGTGAGGGGTGGCAGGCTGGGCGTGGCAGGCAAAGCTTGGTCTGGTCAATGCTCCTGAAACAGACTATTTATTCTTCTGGCTGGTTTGACGTTCAGTCACTTTTTGCAGTTGGGCTGCAGCTTCTCAACCCATTCAGGGAAGTGGCATGGCTCAGAAATAACTAACAAGGTTCAAACGCATTTGTAGATCCTGTAAACTAGTGCAGCAGGTTAGCAATCCCTCGTCTAGCTCTCCAGGTGAGGCTGACTTAGGCCGTAATGCACTTCTGTGCAACAGGTTTCACTCACCCTTCTCCACTGTAACATACACACAGATTTATTACTTGGGCTTCCCCGGCAATGCCACATTGTACAACCCAGCTAAGTGCGGACAGCATGCTGGACTTCCAAGTTGAGAAGTTCACAGTTTTTATTGGTCTTCATGTTCAGATCTACAAAAAGTTTATTTTGAATGTCCACGACTCCAGGTAAACCAGACTATGGCCATTTAAGCTGAAGCAGGTCAGTTGCATGTACCTTAATGTACAGCTTGTTTGTTTCTGTACATGATGCTTTACAGCGTAGATTGTCATCTCCTCCTGTTGTCCCACAGAGAGGGAAAGGACAAGGGAGAGTGCTATCTGATTATGAAACTATTTGGGAAACTAATATATCCATCATGAGGCAAACGATGGGTGTTGTCTGTATAAGTGGTTGTAGTTTGAGCCTCTTTTGAAGGACTATTTTGAGACACATCTATTGAGTGCACTGCAGTACAGGTAGGCACCTGTGTGCATTTCATCCCATATTCATGAATCCTTTATTTGCTTGTATGTGTAATCAATCACTACATGTATTTTCATCATTACTATTTTGCTGAAGGGGGGGGAGGCATCCTCTCCATTGGCACTGTCCGTTGAGTAAGTTCTGTGGGGAAGGGACCACCTTTTTGTTCTGTAAAAAGAACAGGAGTACTACCAAATTTCTTTTTGCGGATACAGACTAATACGGCTGCTACTCTGAAACCTTTTTGTTCTGTGTTTGTACGGCCCCTAGCACAATGGCATCTTGGTCCATGACTAAATCTCCTAGTTGCTACAGTGTTACAACTAATAAAAGTAACTATGAGTAGGGTCATAAATCCGGGGGAAGCACATTCCTATGTCCTACACCACTGGTTTGATTTGGTTCCCAGGACAGGCTGTCGATGATATAATGGGGCTTTATTTGGTGCTGGTCTGGCCAGGATGATCCTGAAGTTAATGCAGTAAAATTATCATTAGTTGTATCATTTGAGTAATGTTTTATGAGGTAAATAGCATTGAATTATTTGTTTTTATAGGTGAGACGTGCATAAAAAATAAAAATAGATGTAAGTATATAAAGCAACCTCCAAATGTTGGACTCTTGCTTCTTCTAAAAAGGACGTAAACTGGAGAAACCTCTTCTGAGTCATGCTCAATATTAGCTTCTTCTTTCTGGGATTCTGTTTGGGAATTATAGAGTCCACTGTATCTGGGGGCATATTCTCCTTGATGCATGGTACAGAGGTACATCATGGGGGCTATTTTGTGAGATATTCAGGTTTCCTTTGCTGATATATAGTTTTATAACTTCCTGAAGATATACTCAATGAATCACAGCAGAGGTTCCTCCTCCCCCTACAGCAACAGTGCAGTAGAAGCCAGTATTTTGCCTTTCCAGAGGTGAAAGGCCTTTTTGTCACAAAAGTCCATGCTGTGTTAAGGTCACTAGCAATACACCCTGCACTTGAAATGCTTCCTCAGTTAGAGTTCAAGAGAAAGTGGGGCAAGACATGGAACTGCTGCCAGTTTTAGGCTTTCGACTAGGAGGTGCCTTTGAGACACTCACTAATAGAGTCTGAAGTAAGGGATTGCTGCAGCAGCAGCACTAAGTTTTGTCTTTGTTTTCAAAGTTGTCTTTGTATCTCCCTCAGGATTCATATCGGAAACAGGTAGTTATTGATGGTGAGACCTGTTTGCTAGACATTCTGGATACTGCGGGGCAGGAGGAGTACAGCGCTATGCGAGACCAGTACATGAGAACTGGTGAAGGCTTCCTCTGTGTCTTTGCCATTAATAACAGCAAATCATTTGCTGATATCAATCTCTACAGGTACGTTCTGCTCTTCGGGAGGAAGTATTTCCTAGTTTTATTTTGGAGGGGGAAGGCTGGAGTGGCGCAATCTTCAACTGGCATTGAACATTATTCACCACTGGGATTACTGGAGACCAAACTTGCAAGACAATCAATGATCTTCAAATAATAAATGCTGGAAAATTCCATACTGGGTTTCAAAATGCCTTTTAAAATCGGACTCAATGTTTTAGAGTGGTACATAAATTGTCCACAAATGGAGAATGGAACAGCCACCAAGATAGTGTTGAAGATTAGATGGTATTTCAGTGGCGTAGCATACAGGACAAGACACCTGAAATAGTAGCGAAGGGGGAGCACATCAAGGTGGATGCACTGATGGGGTAAGGAGAGGGACATATTGGTTAATGGGCTAGGGGCTAAGTTCTGTGAGGTCCTTTCCAGCACTAATGTCTGGTTTGTAATAAGATGTCGGTTTAAAACTCAGTTTTTGTACAAGAAAAGCTGGTTTTTAATGTATTCTTTCTCCAGAGAGCAGATTAAGAGAGTGAAAGATTCAGATGATGTGCCAATGGTGCTAGTGGGAAACAAGTGCGACTTGCCCACAAGGACAGTGGATACAAAACAGGCTCAAGAACTAGCTAAGAGCTATGGGATCCCCTTCATTGAGACGTCAGCCAAAACAAGACAGGTGACGAGCTTCCATTCTTCCAGTGTGATTTCTCTCCTTGGTGCTATAAATATGGTAGCGGCCTGGATCCTGTGTGGTACTGATGGCCAGGGGGTGGAGATGGAGATGTGTAAATCACTTTCCCGTTTTTACCTTTGAGTTCAACCGGAACATGCAGAGTAGAACTTTAAGAACATAAGAACGGCCATACTGGGTCAGACCAAAGGTCCATCTAGCCCAGTATCCTGTCTTCCAACAGTGGCCAATGCCAGGTGCCCCAGAGGGAATTAACAGAACAGGTAATTATCCCAGTGATCCAGCCCCTGTTGCCTATTCACAGCTTCTGGCATACAGAGGTTAGGGACACCATCCCTGTCCATCCTGGCTAATAACCATTGATGGACCTATCCTCCGTGAACTTATCTAGTTCTTTTTTGAACCCTGTTATAGTCTTGGCCTTCACAACATCCTCTGGCAAGGAGTTCCACAGGTTGACTGTGTGTTGTGTGAAAAAAACACATCCTTTTGTTTGTTTTAAACCTGTTGCATATTAATTTCATTGGGTGACCCCTAGCTCTTGTGTTATGAGAAGGAGTAAATAACACTTCCTTATTTACTTTCTCCACACCAGTCATGATTTTATAGACCTCTATCCTATCCCCCCTTAGTCGTCTCTTTTCCAAGCTGAAAAGTCCATCTTATTAATCTCCTCATATGGCAGCTGTTCCGTACCCCTAATAATTTTTGTTGCCCTTTTCTGAACCTTTTTCAATTCCAATATATCTTTTTTGAGATGGGAGACCACATCTGCATGCACTACTCAAGATGTGGGCGTACCATTGATTTATATAGAGGCAATATGATATTTTCTGTCTTTATTTAATTTCTTTTGCTCTGGACGATATCAAAACCTCAGTGACTCCTCAGGCTCACATTGATGGCCTCAGTAGCTGAATTCTAAAAATGCCAAGTCCTTACCAACCAGATGAGAGTTCAGCCATCCCTCTCTTCTGGAGTAGTCTGTAGTAAGAGCAAATGCTGTTCTTATGAGATTTTGTCCCAAACTGCCAAGTTTCCCTTGGCTTCTAATTAAGGCCAGTGTTGAAGCTAAGTCCGTGACATGTCCTCAGAGCGTGTGTGTTTATATAGAGAGCATTCTCCACTTATCGCCCTCTGTTCAGTAGGGTCCCCCAAGTCATTGCTCTATCCACATCACTTTTCAGAATGAATCTGGAAAGGGGCAATAAATTGCTAAGAAATAGTCTGAAAATGAAACTTGAACAGGGAGGCAATTTGCCAAGAAATAACCCCATTTCCTACTGAGGACATAAGCTTCAGAAACCTACCTCCTCCTATAGCTACAGTCCGCCATTGCCTCCATCGTTAGAAGACGGCTGCTTGTTTGTGGTTTCCTCAGAGGGAAAATGATCAAAGTCAAGAATGTAATTGTGGGAAATGTGGGCGTATAGTATTGGTTCCCTGCTGCAATGAATTGTGGGATAAGTTGGCCCCTAATGCTCCTGGCTCCCAGTTGGCTAGGAGCTGCCCTGGAGAGAGGAATGCATTTTGAGTAAGTATGTCAAAGAATACTTTGGCGGAATAGTAAAATGATGGATGGAGTGCAAAGCGATGTCCAAGCACATGGGGGAGAGGATACCTGACCAGGACTCTTTGCATTCAGGGTGTCGAAGATGCCTTTTACACATTGGTGAGAGAGATCCGCCAATACCGGATGAAAAAGCTCAACAGTAGTGAAGATGGGAATCAAGGCTGTATGGGATTGTCATGCATTGTGATGTGATAAGGTAAGCTGAGATTAAATCTTTCATTTAACTCATATGAATGCATCTATAAGCCTTGGCAAAAGTGGATTATAATGGACCAGTTGCCACAGCCTTTGCTATATTGTAGAACCTGTTGGTTGATGTCCCATGGATTTAACCAGACCTAGAACCAGTTACTTCTCTGAAGTTTGTTTCATCAATTAGGAGCAAAGTTTGAAAGTGGATGGTCTGTTCATGTATCAGAGGGGTAGCCGTGTTAGTCTGGATCTGTAAAAAGCAACAGAGGGTCCTGCGGCACCTTTAAGACTAACAGATGTATTGGAGCATAAGCTTTCGTGGGTGAATGCCCACTTCGTCGGATGCATGTAATGGCAATTCCGGTCTGTATGTCCCTTTGTGTCCCCCCTTGCCAGCTGCCTCTGTCCTTTGGGAAACACTGGTTTAATCCAGAGAAGCCCAACACACACCATATTTCCTTATTCTCACACCAATGCCACCCATGATCTTCACAGCTCTAAAATTAGCTTTTGCTTGTGACCTGCTTCTGTACAGCTAACATGGGAAGCACAGCTCTGGGGGGAAGGGCGGGTTTGTAATTGCATCTTCACAGGCAACAGAGGGAGAACCATGTGCCATTCTTGGGCAGCTCAAACAAAACTGCAGTAATTCAAACAAATGAAGAATGCTGTGATGGAGGGTTAGATTCTTTCCAACAGCTGTTCCGAAAGCATTGCTCTGCTGAATAAAGTGGGTAGGTTACCCCAGTACTCGTCACAGACACCCTGTCATATCACATGTCCATCATGAAATAGTATAAGAGCTAATCAAAGATGCTTTTCCCTTTTAGCCACCAAGAATACCTGGTTCAGATGTAGCTGGAGGACAAGTCTTGATGCCACTCTAAAGCATCTCACGATGATACCCTGGTGCCAGCCAAGCAGTATAAAGTCCTTTTCTGTGCTCCATCTGAAGAGAACATCTCTGAACAGCTACCTCCTTGCTCGGCTAACTGAGCAGAGAAAGCCCCATCTGTTGATGCACTTGGGATTTCTTTTTTCTTTTTTTTCCTGGGTAGGTTCAAACAGAAAACTGGTCACAAGAAAAGCGAACTTTAAACACCAAATACTGTGAAAAAGATGACAACATTTTTACCTCTAGAGTAGATGCTAGAAGTGATGTTTGTTTCCTTTGTATCAGATTAAGACCTGGGGAGGAATAGCTCAGGCAGGGAGGGATAGCTCAGTGGTTTGAGCATTGGCCTGCTAAACCCAGGGTTGTGAGCCCAATCCTTGTGGGGGCCACTTAGGGATCTGGGGCAAAAATCAGTAATTGGTCCTGCTAGTGAAGGCAGGGGGCTGGACTCGATGACCTTTCAGGGTCCCTTCCAGTTCTATGAGATAGGTATATCTCCATATATTATATTATTATTAAGACCTGCAGGGCTAACTGAGAAATGTCACTAATCACTGACTGGCAGATAATGTCAGAAATGGCTTTGCCACTGTTTCTTAATACTCTGCTACCTGTTCCAGATTGGTATCTGCTCTCTGTGTGCACCACACAGTCTACTCTCAGCACACCATTGTGTCACGCCGTTTACTCCGATCCTCTATCTTTCTGTAATAAAAAGGAGAGATCTTTGTTAATTAAGTGCCTGCTTGCAAAGGAGCTTTAGAGCTTTTCCCCATTGTCAGACTGAAGGAATTACCAAGGATTCAGGTTCCCTTGAGAGCTGGTGCACTTGTAAATTATCATGTCTTTGAGAAATTCACATGGTCAGTTTATTTGCGTGACTGGACTCTGCCTCTTCATCTAGAGAAAATTCCCGGCTGGAAGCTCCAGTAGACATGTGGGAGGGGTTCTCCATGTCTAAGGAGCACAAGGCGATGGATCTGTTTTCTGTTCTGTTTTAGTGGGTAGACTCATGTACATTCCCTCTAGCTTTGACACTGTGCCCATGGCTTCCTTCATCTCCAGGTAGGACCAAATCAGCTGCTCTTGTTAATGTTGGTTGGAAATATATGTGGTCTGCTACTTGACAGGTAACCACACCAGTGGATTTTACCGGTTTGGGTGACTATTAATTGTTCAGATTTGTCTAGAACTTGCAATTCTATTTTAAAATGATTTGCCTCATCACCAAACTTCAAATAAAGCCTCTGTCAAATGAATCTCTGAGAAGAGTAGCTGGAGGGCATTCTCAATGGGGAAGGAGTCTTGGATTTCTGACTGGCTTGCACAGTGTGTAGTGTTTGCTCCAGACTGCAGTGCATGCAGTCCCTCCAAAAGTGGGGGAGAAGCTAGCAATAAAATATAGCACAGAATACTGATCTGGCTTCTGATTATGTCTGACTTCAGAATCATCTGTGGCAGGGGTTGGCAGAATGAGGAAGGAAATTCGGTGATCAGCATAGAGAAGTTTTCTTGGTTTGCTGATGGGATTTTGGTGCTTGTTCTACCCCCAGCAGAGTATGAGCGAATCCTTGCACCAAATCATGGAGATTCTTCCTGGAGCAAGATACCATTTGCTAGTTGGCATGAACTAGGCCTTACAAGTAAGGGCACTCTTGTAATACTCTCCCAGTTATACAACACTGTGGTATGTTGGGTCCTTCACTAGCCAACGTACCATTGGAATTGGACTCTGTGACCAGATGAGCTAAAGTAGCATATTTCAAAACCAGTCGTCGTCATCATCGTGGTAAATCCCAAAGGGACATGGCCTCCTTGCAGATCAAGTGCCTCCTGGATCAATCTCTGGATAGGACCTTAAGGTGGTCTGGCTGGATGTTCAGTTTAGGTCTATCACTGGCAATTTTATCACACCATTAAAATTTTGGCCACCCACATGATCACTGGCCATGTAGCGGCATTCCTTAGTAAATGTGCTTCAGAATTAGTTGGTTTTTCATACTAATAATATGTCCATATCAAGAAAGCTGCTGGAAAAAAAACAGTGCTGAAGGACGTGGTTGCTGGGTTCAGCTTCAAATGTCTTTGTTTCTGATCTTGTTCTGCTATTTGATACGGAACAGCCGATGAAGACGATGAGAATTGAAAATGTCATGCCTATGTTCTTCAGCCTTCCTCAGCACCCATGTTTCACTTCCGTACAACAGGGTTGATATAACCATGGTTCTATGGATCCACAGCTTTGTAGCCAGCTCGACGTTATGATATCCTCACAGCGGCCATGGAAGGGCCTGAAATGTGGCGTCCCGTTCTGCTGTACAAGCGTCCACATCTTTCAAGCATCCTCCAGCACTGTCTGTGACGCTGCCCAATTACCTGACAGCTCCCATCTTTTCAGGATCTCATCCAAACAAATTAATAGTAAACTGGTTGTAATCTGGAGCTGGAGGTTGCTTGATGGTAATGGCCAGGGACCTAATTTTATCTGGATTAATAACCAGACCAATGCATGCTACTTCTCGCCTGACCAGGTCAGCCATCAGCTGTAGATGCACCAGACTGAGCCAATAAGACAATGTCATCTCCGTATTCAAGATCTCGGAGCGCAGTGGTGTTCAGCTCAACGTCACCAACAGCTGCCGCCTCAAGCTTATCCATCAACCAATAGTGCCGAAACGGAACAACAATCCTGACTGAACGCAGCCTTGCCAAACTCCTGTGGAGCTAGGAAACCAAGCTGTGTATCTGCCATTGACTCAAATGCAGCTTTCCTTTCCATTATAGAGCTCTTCTGTCAATGACACTATCTTCCTAGGGATGATAAATCACTTCATCAGATCCCACACGCTTACTTGAGGCATTGAATCAAAGGCCTGACAGAAGCCTATACAAAGTGTTGTTCAGGGCTTATTAAAGTCAGACACCTTCTCAAAAACCCGTCTGAAGGTAAAGATCTGGTTGACAGTGGAAAAGCTAGGTCTAAAGCTGCAGGGAGTATCCCTGCCTTTGCCATGCAGTCCATTGTTGATTCCAAAGCAAAGTGTGGTTCCAAATCCCATCCAACCTGATAGTGTGTTTGCTCTAGGAAGAGCAGTTGGTGTATAACTGACAGAGGGAGCTCAGAGCCCTAACATGGACCCCACACAGATAGCGGCTGGTGAGGGTTTTGTTTCAGCTTGCTGATAGCAGGATCATAGATTTTACTTTGAGATTTCCTCCTCCAGTTAGAAAATGGTGAGAGATAAAGTTAGCCCTTTAATGATTCTTCCATAATCAGCTACATGCCTGCTCCTCCTCCTCAAATGCAGAGGGGAATGCTACTCTAATTACCGTATACCCCCAAATAATCATTGGTGACATTATAATCAAGTGTAGTTCCTAAAATAACTTTGCTTTTGGCTGGTGTGAAACTGATACCTTATTTCAGAGTAAAATCTCTGTACATAAAACATTAGCTTCCAATGATACGCACACGTGCGCAGGGATGGGCAGCGTTATAGAGAGTGCTGCTTGGGATCTGCATGTTGGATTCTTGACTAGGGGTCCTTTTGTCTTGTGATTTCTTGATCCCATTGTTTGAAGTCACAGGTCCCTCCTTACTGGGACAGGTCCAAGAAAACCCTTGGTAGTAAAATGTTTACTGTCTTGTCTGTCAGTAACTGGAAACGTGTACATTTTCTTATGTGACAAGATGTAGTTCTTGATTTGCAAAAACACTTCTAAAACCTTGTGCTGGTGGTTGGTTATGTGTCCGGGGTCGGCAGGGGGACACGAGAATTGTGAGTCTGGCATAATGTGTTGTCTGCTTTTTCTAAGCAACCATGATTGTGTTCTGAGGTGGCCCTATTGTGAGGACTTTGGGTCTTGTGTCTTGCATCTGCTCAGGTTATTGAAAGTAAGAGCCCACCTGGAAAGATCGTGGTCTGGGGATGCCCTGTGCAGGAGAGGCAGGTGTGTCTGGCCGCTAAGATTCTTTTAGCCAGGTCTGTGCAAATTTTGTAGATTACCTGGAAATGTGAACTATTTTCTTCCGCCAGACTGTGTGGGGAAAAGGGACGAGTGCAGTGTTTAAGGGATCTCTTTAGAAAGTGCGCTGTCAGAGCACACTCACAGGAAAGTATTAAGAAATCTTGTTCCTTTACAGCTGGTATTTGATGTTTAAAAGTCATGAGTTCAACCATATGAAGATTAAATATCCTATTTGGCTGGGTCTGCAGCATGTTAACTAGCTGAAAGTGCATCTGAGATGCGTTCTCCGTGTTAAAACAGTGTAACACATGCTATTTGTTGTTAAAAACACACTAACTATGACTCCAGCTTCTGGGAAGCTCTGGAGTTAATGTTTGAGCTTGCAAACTCTATCTACTTTTTCTATAGCCCCCCCTAAGTAGAACCCTTCCTGTTGGGAAATACCAAATCGTAAAGTTAATGAGACTGGACAAGGGTTGTGTAATGTGGATTTTACCCTAGGATCCTTGGACAGGGGATTCAGTGGGTGGTTCTGTAGGACTCTCCCAAGGGTTGACCTTCACAGTCTCTGTATCATTCTTATGAGTTTAGAAACAGCTATAGTTAAAGCAGTTCAATCCTCTAGTGTGGCCACAAATATCCCAGTGTGCTGGTGTATGTGTACAGGAATAAGCTGTACTGACAACTGCAAAGAAAGAGTAACTAGTAATTGGAGCAAGGTCTCAAGTGGGGTTTCACAGGGATCTGGTCTGGATCCAGTGGTGGTTAACATAGAATCATAGAACTGGAAGGGACCTCGAGAGGTCATTTAGTCCAGTCCCCTGCACTCAAGGCAGGACTAAGTATTATCTAGACCAGTGCTTCTCAACCTGCGACCCAGTCAGCACAGAGCTGTGGTCCATGTGACATCCTCAGGGCCATATAAGTAGTAGTGGATGCAGCCCACAATGGTAAATAGGTTGAGAACCACTGATCTAGACCATCCCTGACAGGTGTTCGTGTAACCGGTTCTTAAAAATCTCCAACGACGGAAGGTTCCACAGCCTCCCTAGGCAATTTATTCCAGCACTTAACTACATGACAGGAAGATTTTCCTAATGTCCATCCTAAACCCCACTTGCTGCAATTTAAGCCAACTGCTTCTTGTCCTACCCTCAGAGGTTATGGAGAACCATTTTTCTACCTCCTCCTCGTAACAACCTTTTATGTACTTGAAAACTGTTATGTCCCCTCTCGGTCTTATCTTCTCCAGACTAAACAAACCCAATTTTTTCAGTCTTCCCTCCTAGGTCATGTTTTCTAGACCTTTAATAAATTTTTTTTGTTCTTCTCTGAACTTTCTCCAATTTGTCCACATCTTTCCTGAAATGTGGCACCCAGAATTGGACACAGTACTCCAGTTGAGGCCTAATCCGCACGGAGTAAAGTGGAACATCTTTATTACAGACTTGGATATAGGAATAAAGAGCATACTGATCAAATTTGCAGATGACACAACGAGGGGGGGATTTGCCAACACTTTGGAGGATAGAGCTAAAATTCAGAGGGATCTTGATAAATTGGAGAACTAGGCTATAGACAACAAAATGAAATTCAACAGATAAATGTAAGGTACTACATTTATAGAAGAAAAAGCAAATGCACAAATACAGAATGAGGGATAACTGGCTTGGCAGTAGCACTGCGGAGAAGGACCTGGGAGTTGTGGTGGATCACAACCTCAACATGAGTCAGCAGTAGGATGCCGTTGCAAAAAAAGCAAATGCTATTTTAGGTTGTATTAACAGAGGAATCCAAGTCACGGGAGGTGATAGTACTGCTCTACTCGGCGCTGGTGAGGCCTCAGCTGGAGTAGTGTGTCCAGTTTTGGCCAACAATGTATAGAAAGGATGTAGAGAAACTGGAAAGGATCCAGAGGTGAGTGACAAAGATGATCAAAAGGATGAATTGCAAGCCATATGACCAAAGACTGAAGGAACTGGGTATGTTTAGTTTGGAAAAGAGGAGATAAAGGGGGAACATGATAGCGCTCTTCAAATAGTTGAAAAGGCTGCCATAAAAAAAGATGGAGAAAAGTTGTTCTCTCTTGCTACCCAGAGGGCGTGACAAGAGGTAATGGGTTCAAACTACAGCATAGCAAATTTAGATTAAATCTCAGGGAAAAACTTTGTAATTGTAATAACAGTAGGACAGTGGAACAGACTGGCGAGGGAGGTCGTGGAAGCTCCTTCGCTGGAGGTATTCAGAGAGGCTGGATAGCCATCTGTCTTGAATGGTTTAGACCCAACATCTTGGCAGGGGGCTAGACTAGATGACCCTTGTGGTTCCTTCTAATCTATGATTCTAAAATTCGATAACAAGCTCCAGTATAACTGCATCCACACTAGGGGTTGCACATATTAACTATATGTATTCCTAAACCAGTATTGTTAAAATGGTTCAAAAACTGTGGCTAAGACCAGTGTGAGGCAGCTGACTGTACTTTACCTCCTAGCTATATTTAACTGTAATCACCTTCATAAAAAGGCCATTAACTCTAACAGCCCCCAGTGCACTCAGGTCTCAGGCACACCACACCAGAGTACATAAGATCTCAAGAGCCCTCTTCCCTGTGTGTTATAACACCTGAAGTGGTGTTGTGACAGGTGCTTTTCTCACCTCAGGAATGTCTGCCTTCATCTATTATTCAGCTGAGCACCATAAGCCAAACTGAGCACATCCATCCCTCGTTCACTCAGGGTAACCTGCTGTAGGAGGCTCATTCTCTCCCAGTCCAGAGACTTAGAGTGACAGGCTTGATCAGGGAAATGCATGTTTGGGCAAAAGTCTGGGGCAGGCAAATTGGAGAGACTGTAGATGAGATGGTTGAGTGCAAGCCCAGACTCATTGGGAGCTAGTTCCTCTGTGTGCTGAGCGCTTACCTAGTATTGCATTCTGTACCATTGCCTCTGCAGCATGAGAGCAGGCCCTTGAGCTGTGTCCCTCTGTTGGTGGAAGGCTTCTTCTCTTCTCCTGGCTCTTCTGTTTTGTTTGTTCTCCTTGGTTCTGTTGTCTGGGTCACATCAGGTCATTTCCTAGGTCCTGATCCAAAGCCCAGAAAAGTCCATGGAAAGACTCTCGTTGATTTCACTGGGCTTTGAATCGGGCCCATTGTACATGGGCTCTCATACTCCATATCGCTCAGTGGTGATCTCCTGCCAGGATAAGTCTGATCTATCTAAGGGCTTTCTAGTGGTTCACTCCTCTTAGCATCAGCACTGACACCATAGCTCTGTTACTACAAACGTCAAATCTAAACCAGGTGTGTGGTCATGATGAAACTGGACTCATCCTTATGCACTCTCACTTGTTCTTCTTTCTATTCTCCCTCCTCCTTTGCGTATGTTGCTACCCCATGGGGTGATCTCAATAAAACTCGCAGCAAACATATTTACCTTCCAAGTGTTTCATGGCTGAGCTGTATGTTTGCTGTTCTGATTGTTCTCCATAAATCCTTTCTGGTACTGCAAGCTAGTTGACTGATTCTAACAGAATAAGGTTGCTGTATCCTTCATGCGCAACATCCATTACAGAGTGTAATGTGTTTGCTGGTTTTGAGTTGATTTGGGAGAGAGCTAAATGGGGAAAATCTAAGCATATAGCGTGAAAGCAGCACAGCACTCATCTTGCTGGTTAATGCTTTTGTCTGCTGGGATTTTTCAAGCTACAAAACCTGATTTATGATTTTTAAAACATATTTTACATTGGGTTTGCATATGCATACCTGTGGCCAAATCTCCGTCAGTGTGTCGTCGGCCACTTGTAGGAGTTCTGTGTAGTGGGGGTGGGACTCAAACCCAGGAATTTTTTAAGGCTAGTTGGAAAGTGAGGGGGCCACAAATCCAAATACAAACAATATTTTAATGTAATTTTTTTTAAGTTAGTTTAGAGAGTATCAGAGGGGTAGCCGTGTTAGTCTGGATCTGTAAAAAGCAACAGAGAGTCCTGTGGCACCTTATAGACTAACAGACGTATTGGAGCATAAGCTTTCGTGGGTGAATACCCACTTTGTCTGACGTCACATGCGTCTGACAAAGTGGGTATTCACCCACGAAAGTTTATGCTCCAATACATCTGTTGGTCTATAAGGTGCCACTGGACTCTTTGTTGCTTTTTTCAGTTTAGAGAGGTCTTCCAATGTGAACATCCCCTGTCTGTTAGTGCACAATAGCCTGGAAGTGAAACTCGCAATGCTACTTTCAGTGTCTCAGCTGAGAGAAACAAAGACACAAGCAGCATAAATGAGACCAAGAAAATGAGATTATTTTTTAAAGGTAATCATTGGTTAATAATCTCAGGTGATGGTAACAGAGGAAAGATTTTTTTTTTAAATACATGATTTTTATATCCTGACAGCCCTTGTATCCCTTTAACCAGATAGCAAAGTGGTGACTAGCACAATATTGCTTTAACATCCCCACTCTGCTGATGTTTAAGAAAGTTCAATATGTATTATTTTCACTGTTCATTCTACTGTTGTTTGTAATAGAATTCAGGTATTTACAAAGGGTAGATTTGGTTTCAAGTAATTTCTGGGCTCTTTGGTGTTTCAGTTGTATTCACATGACACTCCACATGCCTTTGGACTGCCAAACCCAGATGAAAATGGTAATGTGCAATCTGCAGGATAGATGGGAACTGTCGTGAGTCTGTATCCTGGATCAAAGGGCTACTTTATGTTCCGTTTTCAATAGACTCTCATTGATTTAAATTTAAAGTCAGTTATTTTGCTTATAAAATTATTTTTTAAAAGAATAAACCTGTGAAATCTTTGGTTATTTATGTGTTGGGGATCATTAACTGGGGAAGGGTACCCACCCTTTACTGCAGCATGCTCACTGGACAATGCTGGCCATCCTTTCTCTGCAAGAATTGTAGATTTCTTGAACAATTCCTCAAATTGTCATCACTGTCTCTCAGCATCAGCAGTAGCCACACACATACATCTGTGAGCTATACAGGGGACTGAAACTGCTACGAGGGACCAATACTATTCTTGGTGGCCACTATCCTGAAACAGGACACTTCCTACAAGTGTGAAAAAAATATTTGCATACCTCCTGTTCATTCTCTGCTGATCAGTGTCCCTGATGCAAAATCAGTTGTACTGGGGAAAATTCCATCTTAAATTCTTGTTCTGTAATAGCTTTTGCAATTGTTCAGTCTTTGAGTTAATAAATTCTATGGCATCAGGTTTTCTGCATGCAGTGGGTTGCAAGTGCTCTTTTAGGACCATTAGACCACGAGTATGTTTCTCTTTGCCATCATGTTGCTGCAATTTGGTGGTGGACACAGAATCTAGACTGTTACTTATATGTTAAAAAGGAACAATACTATGGAGTTTGTAGTCACAGAACGCTTCACAATTTGAAATGATAGTGAATAAAAAGAACACTGATGTTAAACAATCCGGATTAATAGATTTTAATGTTAGAAAGGAACCATTGTGATGTAGTCTGACTCTTGTATATTGCAGGACAAAGAGTTTCACCCAGTGAATCTGGCAGTGAAGAGACTTTATTTTGCCTGCTACATAAGTGACACCATCAAGCCCAATAACTTGTGGTTGAACTAGAGTATCTTTTAGGAAGTCATTCAACCTTGTTTTAAAGAGTCCAACTGATGGGGAATTGAGAATCTTTTCAGGAGTTAATTATCTTTGCTGTTTTAAAAAAAAAATTACCTCAATTCCAATTTGAATTTTTGTAACTTCAATGTCTACGCATATGACCTCTATGCATGAAACCAAGTAGCGTGCATCACTGAAACCACAGTATCACAGACAAGTGAGACAAGTCTGAACTCTGCCTGATTAGGTTTTTATGCCATATTTGTCACTACTGCCAGAGTGCTGGTGTGGTGTTCAATTTTCAAAGAAACTTAGGCCATTATTTAAATGTTGACTGTTCTCAGCTCTGTACAGCCACTCTGAGGAGCTCCCCATCTAAATGCACCCCAAACCTCTCTGGTCATGCAGAAGAAGACTATCTTAAAACATTTATTTTTCCGTCTCTAGGAATCACATTTGTGAGCTTTGTGGGAGGATTGGAGGCTACTGCTCTCCCTCCATACACTTACTGTTCACCGCAATTCCTGAGAGAGCTATACCTTAGCAGAGTGTTAAAGTCAAGGTGGGCTGTGAAGACATGGATGGAGGAAGCTGCCTCTTTCAAGTGGGATCAAGTGCCATGCTGCCTTCTGGTGCAGGCCTTTGCTTCGCACCAGACTGAAATCCCGCCTGCCAGGTGGTGGCCGCTGCATTTAAGGAGTGTGCTGGTTTCCAGTTCTTTCTGAGCAATGGACTTCTGCCAGTTTTTGCTGCTAACTCCAGCCAGCCCTGTAGCCTTCAAGGTCACCCAAAGTCGAGTTTAGCTGCATGGTTATTTGATATCCCCAAAAATAAGTAGGTCGGATGAGGCCTATCACTTGTACTTATTTTCCTCACCCTCCAAACAGGCACAATAGAATCTGGAGTATGTGACAATCACACAGCAAGTCCCAGCTCCCATGGGGGCAACTATTGTAAAATTTGGAGCTGAGGGCTGCAATCTGATCAGAGATGACACAACAGTGAAGCATCAGGGATTGCTGTTAGTGTAAATTAAGCTGATAAGACGCTGAGAGAGCCATGTGGAATGTTTAGGTGAAGTTTACCGTAGAACAGCATTTTATTTCTGGTGCTATAGGGAAATCTTTACTCTGGCAGGACTCTGGTCTGTCCCTCTGACTGTTACTGACCTCCTCCTGGGATCTAAGTGGCTTATGTTGCAGGGTGGGATGCAAGGCCATTTAACTGATCAGGCTCAGCCCATAGCTGAGGAATCTGGTCAATGAATAGCGAATGGCTGAGAGGAACTCTCTCTGGGAATTAGTGCTAATAACTGGCCCAGTGTGCTGGTGAGGACCTACTGCGTGAATTTCATCACATCATTCACAAGCCGGGGTGTGGCTATGAAATTAATGGAAATGTAATATTTCTCTGATAAGTGAGGCTGCCTTTTGGCTTGCCTGACAAAACTGTCAGCCAAGGGCCCGGATTTGGACACCTCATCTGGCAACAGGTGCACCTAGACACACCAAGACTGGGGAGAAGGATGTCGCTAAAAGCTTAGATCTGCCCTACGGTCGGACAATGTTTCAGCCTCCTCCCTTGTAAGGAGGCCTGTGCTGAGGAGCAGCCGGGAGCAAGCAAGACTAGTAGGAATTTAGTGCTGGGTTTCTGAGGCCTGTGCCTGGTCAGGCTGCTCAAGGGTGAGAGTAAATGGCTCACCAGTGATGCAGACCAAAGGCTGAAAAAGTTCACAGCTGGACAAAAGTGGAAAGGTCACACATTCATGTTCAGTGTTTCAACTTAATGAAGATTTAATTCTGATTATTGTATCACATAACACATCCCTACTAATGTTTCTGCAGATGACCCTGTGATGGGTTGGATCACAGAAACCCCCTTGGGAGCTGCCAACCGATGTGCCAAGACTACCCCGTTCCTATTTTCCCTGCTAGCTCAGGACTCCAACACCCTGTCTCGCTGAGCCAGACACTCCCATCTGCTCCAACACAGACCCAGGGTCTGAATTACTTACCCCAAAGCTGCAGGTTTACCTGAAAACAGTTCACAGAAGTGTGCTTGTCTTTAGCACTCAGATGCCCAACTCCCTATGGGGTCTAAACCCTAATAAATCCGTTTTACCCTGTATAAAGCTTATGCAGGGTAAACTCATAAATTGTTCGCCCTCTATAACACTGATAGATATGCACACTTGTTTGCTCCCCCAGATATTAATACATACTCTGAGTTAATTACTAAGTAAAAAGTGATTTTATTAAATACAGACAGTAGGATTTAAGTGGTTCCAAGTAGTAACAGACAGAACAAAGTAAGTCACCAAGCAAAATAAAATAAAATGTGCAAATCTATGTCTAATCAAACTGAATACAGATAATCTCACCCTCAGAGATGCTTCAGT